TATATATATATATATATATATATATATATGAACTTAAATTAACTGGATTCAATTTCAACTTTTCTCAATGTAAAGTAGAAATAAATTCATTAAAACTTGAAGTGATTTTCAATTTGAAGACCAAGCTTAGGAGGTAATACTACAAATCTTCCATCTAAATATATAATATTTAATATTAGGAGACATAACCCCTCTAGTATTTCACCCATTTTTCTTCACATGTTGATTAAGGTTTTATGTCTGGAGTCCTATAAGGAAATATCATATTCTTCTAATCATGTTGAATCTTTCGATACGACAATTTGATTGTTGAAATTTATTGTTGCTTTATATTATTGGTTGTCTTATGGCATTGAAGGAATAGGCTCTGTGCTTGTTCAATAATTTATCATGAGTTATTATTTTTTTTATAAGAAGTTCAAGTACATCTTTATTATGTAATTTTCTGTTGTCCAAAAGCATTAAAATAGTTCTTATACTTTGTTAAAGATTTGTCAAGAGCTAATAAGAATGTTACCAAGCTTTGTTGTTAGATTTTAGTAAGAGATGTTGGTGAGAAATTTAGAGCCAATTAGAAGGTCCATTCTTTTATGCTTTTTGGTTGTGGAGCTCGAGGATATTAAATGAATTATTAGAGTTAGCAAACAATCATATATCTAATCAGAAGTGTAATTTATTATAGTGAAAATTTTGGTGTAGACTCCATCCTAGAAAAAAATTTCTACATTTAATTTGGATAATATAAACAGCTATGGTTAGAGGGGAGTTAAAAGGGGTTTTGCAAAAAAAAAAAAAAAAGATAAAAAAATCATCCTATTGAGAGGCTTTTGAATGAAGACATGCGAGAGGTAGAGAAGAAAGAAGGTTATAACCTTCAAATCACCAGTGCTAGTTGTGAGTCCTCTAAGGGTATTCATGTATGACATTATTGAGGACATTAAAAATAAAGAGTTCTTTAAGTGTCATATACCAATGAAGGCAAACAACCAGTAGTGTGACTAGAAGAAGTATTATGCGTACAATGGAGACCATGGCTTTGATACTAAAGAGTGTCACCATTTGATGAGTTTGATCAAAGATCTAATAACATCTATAAAGCTGAAGGGAAGATCTTGGTCATCACATAAAATTAGGTTCAAAACATACTTTTCTCACAGTTTTCTTAGGATTGTAGACTATTATTCATGTGCTTGTTATCACATAAAATTAGGTTCAATAGGTTAGTAAACTAGAGATTCACGTATCAGGATTCTTTTTTAACCTTTTTCACATGAGATTGACATAGAGAATCTTAATCTTGTTTATTACTTAAAGCATATACATGGATGCTTGACTGACTTACCTCACAATAACTTTTGACCATCAATGAGTGCTTTGCTTTAGAGTGAAAGTGATTGCACAGTTCTTCTAATTGAAGTCTCTTCAAGCCGACCCATCAGGATAAATTTCCACCTCCAAAAAAATTATCGGCATCACCCCAATGATGTGAATATCATTCGCTTGGACCAGTTTGTCTAAAATTTTATTTATTGGTGCCTTCCCTTGCCTCTTGGTCTTTGCTCCTAGTGCCAAATACGTTTTTATCTTTCTATCTCTGATCAGCTCCTCGACCAGGTTCCCAAGGTGTTAGAATTTCTCTATTTCATGGCAACGGTCTTTATGTTATACAAAATATTTCTTAGTGTCTAGATAAAAGCTACAGTTTTGATAGGCAATGCCTTCTCACAATAATCCCTTTTTTTGGATGCCCACCACTAATTTAGCAATTTAAACTCTCTGTGGAGTCTCCCTTTGTGCTTCGTGATTGTACAACGGGCGCTCATTATAACTAGTATGATGCAGGTCAGGGTACTGTGCTTACCCTCCTCATTTTTAATTTATGTCCACCCCTCTATTGTCTCGAGGTGGCTGGTTATTTTCATACCATGGATGAACGGGAGGAAAAACAGTCTTGGGCCTCCACATATTACCTTGGGGCGCTCTCTTCTATAGATAACAAATGATGGCTTTGTCATAACTGATATAGGGGTGAAGTTGTACTCCTCTATTGAGATGTGATAGTTGGTCAGTTCCAATCACTTAGCTAAGGTCTTCGATTGCTACAAGCCTAGAGCATGCCAGAATGTTCATTCTTTCAACCCTTGAGCTAGGGTGGTTTGTGTTACTGGAAGTTTTAGATCCCACATGTCTGGCATCTCTGTTTGGAATTGAATGATAAATGAGTGTAGGCTTTTGCTATGTCCTTATCAGATCTATAGCAAAACCTATGAACATTTCTCAACTTTTGGGTGCCACAAATTATACCATAAATATCAGCTTGAAGTCCATACAAGATGTGATTACTCTTACCTAAGGTCTTCGGTTGCTGCAAGCCTATAACATACCAGAATGATCATTTTTCAGCCCTTGGGCTAGGGCTGTTTGTTTTATTGCAAGTTTCAGATCCCACATGTCTAGCATCTCTTTTTGGAATTGAATAATAAATGAGTGTAGGCTTTTAATATGTCCCTATCAGATCTGTAGCATAGCTATGAACATTTCTTGACTTTTGGGTGTCACAAAGTATACCATAAATATCAACTTGAAGTCCATACAAGGTGTGATTACTCATGCTGACAATTGTTAAACCACCTGAGGGTCGATTATCTCAGTATAATGAAGTACATGCAACACTTTAACGTGTTTGTGATCCTCAAAAAATGGACGGTCAATTTGACGGCTATGTGTTTGACAGGATCAATATGATCCTTGTAGGACTCTAGAGCAGAAGCTTTAAATCTCTTCAAGAGCTCAGCTATAGAAATCTGTCGAGAGAATGCTTTTCCTGATTGGCGTGGTGCCTTAGTTCACTTGAAATATTGTCACCTATTGACACTGACCCACACTATCAAGGTAGTGGGTATCTCTGACCCATTCTTCAAACAAAAGTACCCTTTCTGACATTGGGCACCAATAGTTTCTATCAAGGGTTTTTCTCCCTTCCCTAAGTCAAGACCTCGTTCTAGTGTTTAACATCTTGTTCTTCAACTCTTGGATATGTTGCTTTACATACTCTCTAGTGCACTTCATATTGGTGGTGTCTCTATTATATGCTTCTTCTCCTTATGCTTCCCCTCTTCTTGTTGTTGGCATGATTTACACTAACAACACCTTTTAGGATATTGTTTCTCTATCTGTCTGTGAATCACATCTAAGTAATATAGGGTATTACAGGTTAGTGGGAGAAATAGAAAGAGAAATATACAGTAATAAACAATAATTTGAGAGAAGTGTGTAACAGTTTTTTAATCGATTGATCTACTATTTTATGTATAGAGAAAGAGAATATAATATGTGAACTTACGTTTATGTCCCTACTATATTTGAGGGTATATAGATTATTCTAACTATTTTAAATATGTGGGCCCAAAGGTGGATTACTTCGTGGCTTGATTGGATGGAATGTCGAGACTTTGATAGGTGCTGTTGGTCAGCTACAACTAGTAAGACCTTGTTAAGCGTGACTAACCAGCTAGTTTTGGTAGACATTACTAGTTGACCTACCTTTTGTTGTCAAGGATTGATAAGATTGAGCCGATCATATGTCTTATAAATATGTTAGTTGGACTGATAGTCGATCCTTGCCCCAGATGAGGAACTTCAATCGACAGAGTGAAGCTAGGCTATTGGGCAGATGATGAATTATTATAGTCTGATAGGTAATCCCCCTTAGCAAAGAGATCCAAAGGGATGGTTGAAACTTATCCTATTGATTTTTTATGATGTTCAGAGAGAATGCTCGATGTCACCAGTAGAACTACAATACTCAAGGGGTTAGTTTCTCTTTTTGGGTTGGTATCACTAACGATAATGTTTTGAATATGCTTGTGCTCCACTTCTAATCAAACTGTCGACCATTTGGTTGCCTTAGTTGATTTTGATTTCGACCTCTTTGATCGGATAATTGGCCTCCGAGACTTATGTCATTGGGCCCTCCATTGTCTTATATGCATCGTCAAATCTTTTTGAGATTCTTCCTATTAAATTTCATTTATATAAATTCAATGAGGAGTTTTTTGAAAGCTTTATGGTTGAGATGTGATGCTAAGTGCCCCTTTAGCAGTGAACTGCAAGTTTTAGATGCAGCAAATTCAGGAGCCGTCGCTCTCCTTTCTCTTAGCATAAGTTGAAACCTTACCATGAATCATATTTTGTCACTCTTATCCATCTTTTTCTATTTCTGTTTTTATTTTTTCAAACTTGGATAGAGCGTGCATGAAACAAAGCGACATTAGGAATTTATACGTAGTTCAATTCTACAAAATCCCAACTATTTTAAAGAAATTATAGAAATTAATGTAATATATATATATATATATATAATATATATATATATATATAGTAAATTAACAAAATTTTGAGTGAATAAATTAGTTTTGATTTTGTATTCAGTTGAATTAACATGATATATAGATAAGTTTGCTAGATGTGCGCTTAATTTTGGTATAGTTATTGAGTGTGTAATCTCCCACTTTGAGGTTGTGAGTTGGAATCACCAAGATTACCTTTTGGACTCACCTTCCGTAAAAAAGTTTGTTCAAAACTTTTTGTAACTCATTTAAAAAAATTCATGCATGTTAACTAATTTATGACCATAGAACTTAAAAAAACACACTTGCATTGACATCATTAAATTTTTATGTATTTACATATTTAAATTATCAAATATCACATCAAATATCACATTATTATTTACTTTTTAAAAGTAAATATAATCATAAATTTAAAGCACAAATATTAGTGAGGTTACATATGAAAGAGAAGCTCTTAATTTTTTTTATCCAACGATAAAAATCTATTGATATAAGGAATATCATGAACATATCCATTTTCAATATCCTAAAGGGGATGATGATAAAATTTGAGCATCCTATGGCGTTCTTTGCTATTTGTTTAAAG